GGGATGACTTTAAGCACTTCGATAGCAGTGCTATCAAATCCTTTCGATGACTATTAAATGAAATGGATAAAAATGTGCATTCATAAATTGACACTCCTAAAACGATCGCTTATGAACATTACCTCAGAAACAGCAGCAGTAATGTCAGGATTCTCAATATACCAAAGTTCGACAAAGGCTTCAACGAGTTCTGCATGTGCCTTTTTGTAAAGCTCTTCCAGCAAAATCTTGATTCGATTTTTTACTCGCGCCTCTGTGTGAGCAAGTGAAATATCAAATGGACATATCCCAGCCTTTATTGGTCGATTCGAAGAAGACGAATCTTTGAAAACAGTCCATATATCTAAAATGATAGCCACAATGTTTGGGAAAACATTGTATAGTATATAATCTCGAGGCTAATATAGCAATTAAACGAATGAGTATAAAGCATTTGTCTTATTTAATGATTTGAGAAAAATATACACTACCTTTTGTTGTTCTGATGTTGATGTTGATGTCTCATTAACCCCAGAGTCGACTGAGAACACGCCAGTTACATAGCCAGTTAACGTAGGAAGACCAAGTGTTGTATCAAAAGATTTACTTCCGTGTTGTGTAATATCGCCATCGTCAGTTGTATGCTTATTTAAACAATCCTTCACTATTTCTTCAAATCCATTAAACAATGTGATAATATCCCAATCAGACATTGCAGTTTCATCAATAGATTCTGATGAATTTGGAAGGATAAGTTCACTGTTGCTTATCATCAAAGCATATCGATCCTGTGTTTCTGTTTTCCAATGCCTTAATTGTTCACATATACATTGGATCAATGGCATCAATACAGAATTGAATGATTGTCGGAAATAAGGTATAGATATTTCAATAAGATCCATCCATTCTTGTAAAAGAGGCCGATTTGAAAGTTTCGACAATGCCATAGTCAGAACTTTGGCAAAAAGAAGTGTTAACACACGGAAATGTTTTGAATCACTAGTAACTTCTTCTTTCGCATTAGAGCTAGTATGGCCAGTCGGAGAACTTGAATAATATGGCTCTGTCGTTATCTTCTTTGTCAAAGGTGAATTTGAAACGAAGGTGCCATTTGCAAAATGTTCATTCAATTGATTTAAGATGGTTGAACGCAATAATGGTAAAAGTTTTGCTTGTAAATCTAGTTGTTTTGCATAGATACAATAGAGTATTTTGCGCAAGACAGTTTCGTAAACTAAATAAACCATCCCATTACTAACGAATTCAGAATTTTTTACTAAATGGTGAAGAAATTCAGCAGCATGCATATGGATATGTTGATTTAACATATTCATAGATGATGAAGTATCTAATACCTCAGATCCCATATATAACAATGCAGTTCTAATAAAGAGTTCACTGTAAGTCATAGAGCTCAATGAATTCTCATTGCCTCTAGAAAGCCAGGTGCAAGAATTAACTAATTCAGCCTTAACGAGAGAGGTATGTATTGCATTTAAGAATGCTTTCCCTCCAACTTGACACATCGTAGACAATGTCTCAAAAACATAATCTACTTGGGCCTGATTGAATGGTTTCTCATAATAAACAACTTCAAATGTTCCATCATCTATTTGCAATTCTTTATTCTTGCGAATAATTTTAGAGTCGCATAAAATTTTGACCATAGGTTGTAAAATTCTTATATAAGATTTATGATTGCGATTCCATCTCATCCAAGTTTCACCTGCACGACGGGTTGAAGGATTTTCATCACGTAAAGAATCCAACACTAAAAACATCTGTTGAGAGAATGCCGTGTCTGTGTCATAAAATTCCGCAGACAACATCCAAAAAATTCCAAACCGTTCAAAATTTGCTAGTCTAACCGATGTTTCCTTTTGTATCAAGTACTCTGATATTACCGCTTCTACATAATTTGCGTGAGATACATCTTTAAGCTTCCAAATAAGCTGAGAAGATCGCAAATGTAATACATTAGAGCGAGGACCCAAAAAACGCCATAATGTATCAACGATGTCTCGAATTTGTTGTTTAGAGTCTAACAAGCGAGGTGGGATAAGTCGTCTACCGACTATAAGATCGAGAAGGGTCGAGAGTGCTGAATCAATTATGTCAAAGTTTTCGACCATGTAACAGCATTTCAATAATGAATTGACCCATTCTCCAGTAAATAATTTCAATACCACTGATTCATACTCTTTAGTATCACGTTCAGTATGGTAAAGTTTCATCGAAACAGCTCTTAAAAGTCCGCAAGCACGATCCATTATTACAGAGAATGATCCCTGAGTTACCTTATCATCACTCTTGATAAGAATATATTTGGTAATTATACAATTCAAAAACCCTTGTATGGCTTTTAATAGTTCCTCAACCAAAGACCGCCCTCTTATTCCACTGGATTCTTTGTTCGCAATATTTTCATTCCCACTTAAATAAAAATTGTTAATATACAACATAGGATCCATTCCAGAAGAGAAATCCAGATCCATTTGAGATGATTTTGCGGATAAAGTATCTTCATTTGAAGAATCAACTTTGTCTGCCTGTGACGCTGGTCTAATGGTAGAGTTCCGTTTCTCTGTTGTTAATTTATGAGCAAGATAATTAAAGACACTATTTGGAATTTTTTGGAAAATATCTAATGCTAGTTTTAAAGCAGATTCAACTTGTGGAATACAAGCAGTCAATTTTGAATCATTCGCAAAACTCTATCAAATAGAACCAAATAATTCAAATATATAAATATAAATAAATAGGTTTGGAAACAACAAACTAATTCGTATAATTTAATTACTTGAAGTTTACAAAGTAGAGCAGTCAAAAACAATGGCAAATGAATTTGTTCGATTTCTTCTTCATGTAATTTAATCGAATCCAAGACAAAACCGACTAAGTCCAACGCCTGAATGCGAAATAAAATGTTAGACAATAATAAACTGGAAGTAGGAAGGCAACTTTAAACTTTTACTAACAGCAGTATCTAGCCCGTCCTTAGATGAAAGTTTATCAAGAAGGCCATACAATTTCATCCAAATTAAATAAGGTTCAAGCATTTCCATAAACATATTTGCAGTTTGTAATAACTTGAAAAGTATAAAGATAATTACTATATTTGAACATTTTAAACGGAAATTTAATGGATATCACGCTTATTACGCTTACATCCATTCCGAATTCTGATTTATCAACATGATTTTTTAATGACCATAAAACATCAATAAACAACTCTTGGACAATCGGTTGTCCTATTTCC